TTGGCTTAATGACGAGCCATATTGCTACGACTGGTCTTTTCTCTGCCAGTTTGAAGAGCTGCCCTTCTTCGATCAAGCGGGGGGCCTCTCCTTGCTCGTCGCCCCTACAGGGTGACTTTTGACCCTTTTCAGGGTCCCCCAGCAGGATAAAACCGGACGCTGAAGACAGAGCTCACCTCCATGCGTCCGTCAGTACCGTGATGACAAACCGGAAGTCTAATGTTGTAGTTTTCTAATGTATATAATAAAGGTTCTAAATCTGCAAGTCTCTGTCATTGATAACCAAACGGAGGTTTATTTCTGAATTGCCCTCGTATTTTTTCCCATTTGGAAAAAGGGTGGAGACTAAGACTAATTAATTTACACGGTCTTCAATTCTAAAAGTTTACATGAAGTGTTACCACCAGTGTTTGAAAAGGGTTTCAGAACTCTAGTCGTGACAGAGTTCACTTGACAAAACTAAACATCAAAAGTACATGACACCAAAATAGATGTACTGTATGTAGGTCTCTAAAATTGCTTAGTGCCCATCAGTATATCCATGTTCTTGAGCAGCATGCTGATTCAGCTGCACTCCCAAAAGCTAATTTCTCTCAAGGATGGTAACTGCATTGACTTATCTTCTGCTGCATGAGTTCCAACTCTCCCATATTTATTGCATCCATAGTCAATGATGGAGGAGTTCTTTATTAATTACAAGTGGTCCTTTTCTACTCAAATTTTCACTTACAAAATTAAACACCTAAACAAATCTTTCAAGGACGTTTATTAGGGACTCTTTCCCATTTTAAATAGCCAAATGTGCTTACATATATTAGGATTAAAAGGGAAAAATCAAAATCAAAAGTCACTATTGAAAGAGGCATTTTGAAATACCCCATGAGCTAGCAAATGGCTGATCTTGGATGATAATATATTTTTATCTATTGATTTATCTTTTTTATCAACAAATCGTTTTACCCCCAGTTGATTGTATTAAAAAAAAAGTCAAAGGCTTGCAAAACTATGTTATTACGTTAGGCCAGGGGGTCTTCAAACTTGGCCCTTTTATGGCTTGTGGACTTCAATGCTGGCTGAGGAATTCTGGGAGTTGAAGTCCACAAGCCATAAAAGGGCCAGGTTTGAAAACCCTTGGGTTAGGCTATTCTCAATTAATACCTCCTTTTTTCAGCCACTATGCCTCTTCTTTGGAATCTTTGGAATAGCATTCCCCAAAAGAAACACTTAGCATTGAAACAAGAATAACTTTTCCATCAGTTCTTGGAAAACACGGATCATGCATTATTTTAATGCTTTTTAAACTGTGTCTATTGTTCCTGGCCTGAAATTATGAGTAAGATACAACAGTACAGTTTTTAATCTTATTTTATGACATAAGCCAAGGAAGCTGCTCCGAATCATTGACAATTGAAATGGCATGTAAGGTCAGTAAATAAAATATTTCATGTAGGAGAAAAAACCCTGCCCAGAAATAGCAATGGGTCAAAAAGGAAGTGCAAGCCACAAAAATTACATGGTATCAATTGCTTATTGGATACAATGTAAAGTGTTGCTATTGCATTCATTTTAAAAGGTGTAAGGGCAGCCTCTCTCATTACAACCGTCTTAAGATCTACAGGACAAGTCAGAGATGCCTCTGTTAGCAAAAGGCTGGTCTTTGTGATATGAATAAAAATGTCCTCTCTTGTGTTGTTTCTGGGTAATGGAATGTACTCAACGCTGGGTGTGTTAGTTCTCACACAGTTAGTGAAAAACAAATATGACCACTGCAGAAATAAAGGACAGATGGAAACAGACCAACATATGCAAAATCAGAGGACAAGCTGTACCCACCATAGGGCATAAAGAAAAATGAAATGCAAAAGGCTTCAAGCTTTGTTTCTATAGGCTGGTTTTTGAATGACAGCTCAAAAGGTGCTGCCTTTTTTGTGGCGGGGGGGTTATGTTTTCTAACTTCCATTTATCATAAACTTTTGGAATTCTTATGATTTGGCTCGCATTGTTTCGGTGAAATCTGTTCGGCTCCCACGAAGTGATTAGAAAACCTGTAAAGGCACTTCCTTTTAAGGCAGGATTTTAATTATTAAAGACTTTTAGAATGATGGTTAATTTGAACTGTTTTTTTTTAATCTTCTATTTGTGTTTTCTAAATTTGGTCCGCTTCCATGAATATTTATCAGAATAAGAAGGTGGAGGAATCAATGGATACAACAGGTGATATAGAAGAAAAATATGCATTAGCAAATCATATGGTGATATTATGAGTAAGATACAATAGGACGATTTTTAATCTTATTTTATGACATAGAAGCTGCTCAGAATCGCTGACAATTGAAATGGCATGTAGACTGGTAAATAAAATATTTCATGTAGGGAAAAAAACCTGTTTTTTCCCCATAAACTGGAACTAAATGCCAGTTTCTGGGGGGAAAAAACATTATAAAATGCAGTACCGTGATCATGGGGTGCTGGAAACAGTCATAAATGCACACCAGAGCACTCAAAATGCAATCATGTAACTGCAGGGAAGGCCTGGCCTGTTGTAACTTCAGAACTGGGTCATAAGAAGCTTTTGAGGGTCTGTTCTAACTTTGCCTGGTCACTAAGCATAAATCAAGAGCTATCTGAATTCATAAGGCAGTTCACAAGTTTAGGCTCAGTTTTGTTTGCAGTCACTGTTGGTAAAAACATCAAAAATACCTTCATTCAACAACCTGAGGTCTTTATGTCCTATTAAAAAAAAAATGCTTTTGAAGGTTCTATGTTCCATTTGCAAATGAGTTTTTTTCTTATCATTCTTTCGGACATGAAGTTTCTAACCTGGAGAAAGGGCACCAGGAGGTTTATGAATATATTATCTTCCAGAGACAAAACTTGACAGGGTATTTGCAATGCAACCTCTGTGAAGCTATTACTCTGCCTAAAATAAAATAAAAAAGTCACTATGACAGAAGTGCTAATTAGTTAATCTGAACTAACTTTCAAGGCGGGCTGCAAAAGATCCTGGAAGATGGAGAAGTTTAAAGGGCAAGAAGAACATAGACATTTGGTGATTAAAGAAAGTTGCCAATTATAAATAGAAGGGTAAGGTCTGGTAGAAAAGTGGTTGGAAGACAGGTGTGAAGGAAGAAGGAAGAAGGAAAAGGAGGCATAGAGAAATTAATGAGAAGGTACTGAACAAATATCACTGTGGTTACAGTCAGGAGATCTTGCAGTGAGAAGGAAATTGAAATGCTAGAAGGATGACCTGAGAAGGGGAAAGGGCCAATAGGCGGAGAAAACATCGACTGGAGGCGATCATGATAATAAGAGGAAAAACAAAGATAGCCTACAGAAACTCTCTTATAAGGTCATAATGAGCAAAGTCAATAGCAAAGAAAGGTCTATCAGATGGGCATGAAAGCCACAGCAGCACTCCACTTCCCTTTCCCCGGCCTAGCGTATTGGGACTACAATTTCTATCATTCCCAGTCACTGTGGCTTATGGCTATACTGATCGAGAACTGTAATCCAGATTCATGGGGACATCCATCATATTAAGCAAGACTGATATATGCAACCTAAGGATTATTTACCTTTAATAATAATTACATAAAAGGGCAGTTTTGTCCTATTGTGATTATTGCTTCTTACTGCATCAGTATTGACAATTGTTTCTATGATGCATTATTTTTCTGCATGGATGGGCTTCTTATATGAGGAAGTATTTTAAGTAATAAAAAAAAATCAGTCCTCTGCTGCAGTCTGAAAGAGATAAGACTTGTACAGAAAAATGACAGATCCTATGCTAATTTTTTCAGCTCATGAAAACACAAATGTTTTACTCTCCCTCTGTATATTTGTGTATACATGCACTGATGCATTGCGTGAGAAATGATAGTTTATGACTGATCCATATCTAGTGTTACAATATAAATGGTTTGAAAACTAGGGATTAATAAATCTAAATAAATGTAATTTTGATTTAGTGCAAAATGTGGATCCTGCTATTATTTTTCAGTTGAATATTTGATTTAACTGCTAGGACACAGAGGTGTATACATATACACACATACACACACTTTCTTTTCCCATGATGAAATTCAGACTTTCTAGCCATCAGCATTTGGCCAGTTGCAAATTTACCGTATTAAAGTTGCTTCGTATTTCCTTAAAATTTGATTTCACAATCCCTCAAGAATTAATTAGAAAACTTTCAGTGTTACTATGAACATTCAACATCAAGGTTATTAACTTTCTAATGCATAAATCTTACAATGATTTAAGTTAGCTGCCTTTAGGTTTTGTATTAATTTAATTTTACTTGTTTTTCCCCTTCCAAAAGGTAATAAATAGAAGGGATTGTATTAAGTACAACAGGACAAGTTTTGCAATAGGACCAGCTCTTGAGCTGTTCACCTACTTTCTTAAAAAATGTATACTACGGTTCATTAAACAAACGAAAACTTCATCAGAGCAAGGGGATTTAGATTAGATTTTTTTTCTCCTTGCTTGAAAGACTTCATTGATGAACTAGCAGGAGCTGCCAAATCTATATTCCAACAGGTTGTCCAAAATAAAGAATGTAACCATTTCATTCTGAGATGCAATTTCTGCAGATTAAAATTATTTCTCCATGCTCCCTGCCACTCCATCATGCCTGAAGAAGATGGATGAGCTTCAGCCTAGTCAAAACCCTATGCTGTCCCAAACATCATATGCTAAACAGCATCTCCTTAACCTGGAATTTAGGGGAGGGCTGCCTACAAGTCAAGCTGCTGAAGTGACCTGTGTCGTCCACAGCCTGTTCACTTTGCAAAGAAATGGCATTTCAATAACCAGGGAGAAAAGGCTTCCTCTCTGAGGCACAGAGGGGAAAAAAAGGGTGGTTTTTTCCCCCCAGAAAATGAATTCATAACCCAGCCGCTTAAGGAGATAAGATAGGCTGACAGCAACCCAAGAGATGACTCTGATCTCATCCCATCCACCCTCCCCCAAGTATTTGGAAGCTTCTCACTTACCCAAAATGGGGATGATTCATGCTTACAGAATAGCTCTTTTTGGTGTGGGGAGGATGCACTGGATACCCAAAGGGCAGCTTTGGGGCGCTAACAAAAGCTGGATGCTTTTTTTTAAATGAGAACCTTCATTCTCAGCGCTTGGAGGCTGCGCTGGCTCGCTTCGCCTCGCCCCGCTCCAGAGCCCGGACCCAACTGATGCCCTGGAGGGGGGGGGGGGAACCCGCACCTCACCTCGTCCCCGCCCCCCCCCTCCAGCCTCCTGCATCAACGCAGGTCTTCGCGTTGCTAAGAGAGGACCACGTGGTGATGCTTTGAAGGAGGTGGGCGCAAAGGTCTCCCTTGACCCAATGAATTGGGAGGCTGCGCGGGCTCTCCGCGCTGATAGGGGAAGCCGAGCTGCCCGTTCCTGCTCGGTTGGCGAGCCAGTTCCCCGGGCTCCTGTAACCCGACGCGGAGAAGTAGATGGGAGAGAGAGAAGCGAGCTGCCCGTACTTGTGCAATGCCCCAACTTACTTGGCTTATATAAAGAGGTATTATTCTCAAACGCGAATGCTGATGGTTGTTAGGATTCTCCCTGGCGGGGTTTAAAGTAAAGGCCCGCCGGGCGGTCCCTGAATATGGAAATGATTGGGGTGGCCACGGAAGGATCAGGCCCGACGTGTCATCAAGGGCTTGACTCTTCTAAACTCAGAGCTCTGAAATCTGCGAGGAAGTGTCCACTCGCAGGGTGTAGCTTCCACAGTCACGGAGGAAGGCGCCTGCCTCTCGGGTATTTTGCATCTTACAAAGCTACAGAAGCGCAGTAAAGAGGCTGGAAAGGAAGGATAGAAACGGGAAAACGCTGCACGCCCTTAAAATTCGGTTACCCTCGGGAGTAAGCAGACCAGAGACGATCCCAAGCCCACCTTTATTCTGACTGCAGTGCAAAAGCTATTCTTTCCCCTGCTTTTAAAATGCAGCTTGAGCATCTCTCCTTCAAGATAAAGCTTCAGTGCTGAACCCTTTTAGCTTAGTTTAAAAAAAAAAAAAGCATTTGTAGAAAGGAGCATGGTTGCAATGGATAGAATCGCAGCCATGGTAGAGGTTTTCCTTTCTGCTCACGATGCTAGTGGTTGATGAATCAAGAGAGAATGAAGGAATTGTTTCTTGTCACCGAATATGCTGGCTGAAAAATTAAACAGAGTTGCATTCAATTAATACTGAGATGGGACACCACTAGGAAATCTTAGATTTATAGGCTGGACATAGAAGTTTTTTTAAAAATCCCATAAGTAGGAGAAAAACTTGTTCTATAGTGTTCTCAAGAAAACAACTGGGATTTCCATCTGGAGGGTATAGTTAATCCTCGATTTACAATAGTTCATTTAGTGACCATTCAAAGTTACAACAGCACTGGAAAATGAGACTTATGACCGTTTTTCATAGTTACAACCTTTGCAGCATCCCCATGATCATGTATTCAAAATTCAGATGCTTGGCAGCAACTGGTTCATATTTATGACCTTTGCTGTGTCCCAAGGTCACGTGATCCCCTTTGGCGACTTTCTGACAAGCAAAGCCAATGGGGAAGCCAGGTTCACTTAACAACCAGGTTACTAAATTATCAACTGTAGTGATTCACTTAACAGTGGTGGCAAAGGGCAAAACTCACTTAACAAATGTCTCACTTAACAACAGAAATTTTGGGCTCAATTGTGGTCATAAGTCGAGGACTATTTGTATCTTAAAAAGGGGCTACTATTTAACATACATGTAGCAATGGCTACTTTGATGATTTTCAAAGCACTGAAACATGTTCATGATGAGACCTCTCTACCTATTATTACTTCCGATAATTAAATGAAATGTACACAGACCGATTGCTATGAATGCCAGAGATTAAAGAGCGACTTTTTTAAATAGACTTTTTGAAGTGTCTCGTTAGCTCTAGTGTGATGTGGTAATTAATTGTTGGACTACGAGGATACAGATTCAAGTCCCAACCTCAGCCACTGAAATTCACTGAGTGATTTTGACTGGCCACCTCTTGACATAATTCAGCTGAGCAGATCCACATATACAGGGAGTCCTTGTTTACTGACTGCCTCATGAAGTGATTGTTCAAACTTACAGTGGTGGGGGAAAAAAAACCCACTACAAGTAGTCCTAGGCCAGGGGTAGGCAACTTTGGCTCTTTTATGACTCATGGACTTCAACTCCCAGAATTCCTGAGAATGGCTGGCTCAGGAATTCTGGGAGTTGAGGTCCTTGAGTCATAAAAGAGCCAAGGTTGCCTACCCCTGGCCTAGGCATACAGCCAAAATTGAGTTCCAAATTGCCCCATTTTGTGACCTTTCTTGTCACAATTGTTAAGTGAATCTCTGAAATTATTACGTTAGAAACCCAGTTGTGAAATGAATCTGGCTTCCCCATTGACTTTGCATGTCACAAACAGCGATCACGTGACTTGCAATCATCATAAATACCCACTAGTTACCAAGTGTCCGAATTTTGATTAAGTACAGTAACCATGGCGATGCTGCAACGGTTGTAAGTGTGAAAAATGGTCATAAGTCACTTTTTTTCTGTGCCATTGTAATTTCAGTCACTAAATGAACTGTTGTAAGTTGAGAACTACCTGCTACTTTATTTATTTGTTTGTTTGTTTGTTTAACTTTACTTTGTGACTAGTCTTCACATTTACAGCCACTGCACTGTCCCATGGTCACGATTGCCATTTGTGTGATTTTTCAACCAGCTTGTGTCAGCAGAGTTAATGGAGAAGGTGGAAGTAAAATTGTAAGTGTCAATCACAATTGCTACTTAATGACCCTGTCACTCCACTTAACGACTGAAGGGGAAATAAGGGCATAAGTCTATTGCAATCATGTGGTTTTCCCATTTAGCAACTGCAGTGCTTAGCAATTGAGTTGCCAATCACAATTGTGGTCATCAAGCAAGGACTACCTGTATAGACATTGATTCCTCTGCTTAGCAAAAAAGCAGATCTTTTCTATAGTTTCTTTCTTAACTAGAATAAAAAAGACCTCTAGCAAGAATTAAGTCTGACAATTCTAGTGGTTACTTAACATGGGATGTACAGTAGACGTTTCCTGTGGGTTAAGGCATAATACATGCCTACTTGGAAACCAAGATCAAAGGCGTATGTAATTAAGAATATAATTCATAAAGTGGAGAGGCTGCAATTTGTCACATTGGTGAGTTGTGCAGCTATATAAATTTGATAAACAGCTCCCCAAAGTGTCTGACACACTTGAAATGGAGCAAGATTTCAGCTCTGCTCCTAGTTCATCACATGCAGGCCCTTTATGTAACTCAGCAAGCTGCATTTCCAATCTGATCCACAAATGCTGGAATGCCTGCTTGTTAATATTGACAAAAACGTCCATAGAGACTTGGTTTCAATTGACAGAGAAGCCTATACACACTAAAATCCACCTTTGAAGGCTTCTCTAACTTAAATGTCTATATACAATTAGAATGGGGAGATGTGCAGGTAGTCTTCAATTTACAACAATTCATTTAGTGACCATTCAAAGTTACAATGGCACTGAAAAAAATGATTCATGACCATTTTTCACACTTACGACCATTGCATCCTTCCCATGATCACATGATCAAAACTCGGATAATTAGCAACTGGCATGTACTTATGACGGTTGCAGTGTCTTGGGGGTCATGTGATCACCTTTTGTGACTTTCTGACAAGCAAAGTCAATGGAGAAGCCAGATTCATTTAACAACCATGTTAATTTGACAGTTCCAGTGATTCACTTAACAAATGTAGAAAGAAAGGTCGTAAAATGGGGCAAAACTTACTTAACTGTCTCACTTAGCAACAGAAATGTTGGGCTCAATTATGGTCGTAAGTCAAGGACTACTTGTACAGCCTTAGAGGTGAAACTCACACAATAGCCTATTTTCCTTATTAAATATAAAAATAATATTTTAATATCTAGATAAGAGGCCAGGGATGCTGTCCCAAATGGCAAGAAAGAAGGAGAATATAAATGTATCAAATGCCACATCATAATGAAAGAGAATAACTGAGGCTGGAGTACAGATAGTCCTTGACATACAATCATAACAGAGACATTGTATGTAATAACAGTTGTAGTTCGAGTCACTCACACAACCCACCCAATTTTACAAGCTTTTTTGTGGCGGTTGTCAATGGTTCGCTATCTGAAAAGTAGAAGTGCTGGTTTTCAGCAAAACCACTGTAAAATGCAGTTGCGTGACTACGGGATGTTGCAAAGAGCTGTAAGTGTGACTATGTTGTGAAGTGTACAAAATTCAGTCTCATAATTGCAGCGGGAGCCCAACCATCAGCATATCCAGCTCATGAATCCCCCCCTTTTAGGTCGGTCATCATTTTGAATGGTTGCTAAGCGACCGGTCATAATTCAAGGGCTACTTGTAATATAGCTGGATCTTACCAGTTCTAGAAATGGCACTAAAAATCACATGTATTTATAAGGTCAAAGTGTCTATACAACAGGAATGGGAAACTGGTCTGGCAGCCACTGCTACAAGCATGTTGTTTCTCAACACGAGTATGCTTGTAGGAGTCTTATGAATGTTAGCTCAGCAATCACTGAATGATATTGGAGGACCAATAATAAAATAGGAGTTGTATTTTGTGTACTTGGCAATATGGTTGAAAACAAAGAAATGGTATCCCTAAGAATAATGTTCCCCAATATCTGGTCAAAACAAATTATTTTTTTATAAAATACTTTTTTTCAAGTTCTGTAAATTTTGCTCATGTGATGAAGAAAAGAATTAGCTGGAGAAAACACAGATTGTCGAACAAAACATGATATTTATCTTTATGGAAAAGTATGAAGCTGCCTTTTTTTTATGTCAGCATAAATTGGTCCTCCAGACCTTGACACTTTTACTAAACTATATTAATCAAATAGCTTGTATGTCCTCCAAATACCTTTAGAGTATTGGCTTTAGTTTATTGCCTTCATAAAGTTCGTATCAGCTCACTGAATTTCAGACTGGTTTGCTCATTCTTTGTGAAGAAAGTTTGTCATAGATCTTGCAAACAAAACATAACCTATTAAAAAGGAAGGTCTCCCATAATTTCCATCTTCCGTGTGAATCCCACATGCATCTCAAGTAGAGGGTGTAAAGTTATATTCTGGCAAATGATGTTACAATTATTTTCCCCCTTCAGAGTCAAAAGTGA